GACAATTAATCAAATAATAGTTGGTGAATCTATGAATAGTCATTGTTAGCTAAAGTTGAAATTTTACGTGGATATCCAAAATTTTGGTTAAAGGGTTTGATTGATGAAATTGGTAAAATAGACTGGTGATGTGCATGATTTTAATTCACCTACTTTTAAGAGTGGATGTTATTTCCATTAATATAATTATATCAAAAATATTAATATTTTCTTAAAGAAGCATATGAAAGAGAACTCGACTAACAAAAAAAGGTAATCCCTAGCTAGTCTTTTAGCTATAGCTAACCTCATGCAACATTACCTTCTTCAGAAGCAAATTCTCAACATTTGGTATTTGATCATTATAATCTACTTGTCTTTTAACCTCTAGTAGGTAACGTTAAAAATAAATATATTATATATGATATTATTTAACATTATATTTGATTGGAGTTTGGGTTTATGTATAATTAATTTATAGATTAGCTATACCTTTTATATGTATTGTTTGTGTGCGTGGCGCATGTATGCATATGTGTTTCTAATTATTTGTATTTTGAATAATTTATAAATTACATACATATTAAAATTATAAATTATTTTTATGTGTAAATGTAGATGTCTTATCTAATTTTAATAATGTTTATCGTCTTTTCACTTTTAAAAGTTGATAGTTTATTCGTTTTCAAATTCAAAATTGACATTTTGTAAGGGATCAATTTACTAAGATAACAATTATTTATCCTCAAATAAATTAAGTGGAAAAAAGGCAAACATGACCAAACCCCTTCTCCAAAAAAAAAAACAAATAATTTAAAACAATTTGTGAAAAATATTTCAATTTTTTAGAATTTTTTTACCTCACCAAACCCCTACCGCCCCTACCCCCTACCTCCACAAAAATAATTATTTTGGAACAATATTCTAATTTTTTTAAAAAAAAATTATTTTTATGCAACCTCACATGAATTTATTTTTTTTAAAAAAAATTATTTTTTACGTTACCCTACCCAGGCTATCCCTATCAAAAAACAACTGCAAAAAAATTTCATTTTTTATGCCCCACACTCCTACACCCCCAATTCCCTACCCCGCCACCTTCGTCAGAAAAATTTAAAAAGATAATTATTTCTGAAAAGTATTTCCAATTTGAAAATTTTAATTTTTACCCCTACCCAGCCATTTCCCGTCAATTTTTTAAAAAGAAATAGAAAAATAGTTCAATTTCAAAAATTTCATTTTACACCACAAGGTAAAAGAATTATTTTCTTAAAAAATATTTTCTAGTCTCAAGCAATATATAAAAAAAAAATTAAAAAAATATTTTTCAATCAAACAAACATTAGAAAAATATTTTTTTAAAAATTATTTTTCAATCAAACAAACATTAGAAAAATATTTTTCTTTCTTCCTGTCAATTTCTTAATTGGTGGTGCCCTGTTTTGCTTTTCTTCCTATCATTATTGGATGTTTTTGCTTTTCCTCTTCTTCATCATTCTGCTTCGCCTTCTTTGTTTTCATAATTATTAAAATTGATTAAATAATTTTCTTCTTTCTTTCAATTTCACGCCGTGGATTTTTTTTCCTTTCAATTTCGTTATTATTGGACATTTTTGTCTTTTCTCATCTTCATCATTCAGATTCGCCTTCTTTGTTAATATTTGTTTTAAAATTTAATGAACTAAAAACTTGAATAATTTTGAGGGAATTATGTATTAAAAGATTTGAAACGTTGAGAGAATATTATATCTAAATTTTAGAACTATTTAGATGTGATTTTGAGTTGATCGAAATCGAATTTATCAATGTATAGTTAATGTATATTTTATATATAATTAAGCTTTCAACATTTTGAATATATCATAATTTATAGTTAGTATATCGATCATGGATAAGTAAGTTGTACTATATAATGTACGTATACTTGATATGATTTTTAACAAACTATATTGTGTAGTTATAAATTTATTGTGACTTTTGGCTATTTTTGTGTAAATAAAAGGGATAATGCTCAAGTACCCCCTTAACCTATGCCCGAAATCTCAGAGACACACTTATCTTATACAAAGGTCCTATTACCCTGAACTTATTTTATTAATAATATTTTACCTCTTTTCGACCTACGTGGCACTATCTTGTGGGCCCAACGAAGATTGACTTTTTTTTCAAACTAGTATCACGTAGGCTAAAAAGGGGTAGAAAATTACTTATAAAATAAGTTCAGGAGGGTAATAAGACCTTAGTATAGTATAAGTGTGTCTCTGGAATTTCGGACATAGGTTGAGGGAGTACTTGTGCATTTTCCCTAAATAAAAACATAATTATATTTATTGTAAGCTAATTACATTATCCCCTATTAAATCTGTGTCCTATTTGACAGAAATATCAATAGTGACTTTTTGTATGCTGCATCAATCATAAATGAATTAGTAATTTTGAATTGTTTGTGGTTGGGGATATCAACTCATTATAAGTTTAGAATGAGTATAGGAAAAGGATATATTTCATTGTGAAAAAAGTTAGCTACAAGTTTAAATTATTATAAATGATTCATTGGATATTTATACTATTTAAAAGTATAAAAAGATTATCCTCTAAAACTAAAGTGACAAAAAAATAATAATACAAAAATTATAAAAAGTAGGTGTGTCAATTTGAACTTAAGAGTAAAAAATAAATTAGAATCGTCTTTCCTCTTCTTCTTTATTCTTTACTTTGCATCATACTTCCTTGTATTATTTTAAAGCATATTTTTTGTTGGTTCACAATTAGGTTAATTTTCAAAGATTTGTTAGTAAATAATTATATTTTAAGCGTCTAATTAATTTTTCGATAAGGGCAGATCCATCCTTAGCCAAAGGGTGTCAAGCGACAATCCTACGTCGAAAAATTACATTGCATATAGAGGTCAACGTAATTAAGGTTTTTGAGAAAATTATTTGAAGTTGTGTACTCTAGTCGTATTAGCCTCATAATTATATTTTTTTACTACAACTATTGACACACCTTAATGATAGTCCAAGATCCGCTACAGTTTTGCGAGACAATGATGCATCTTTCATGCAAATCACTATCATCATCAGATACATTCACTAGACTTTGATTGAATATTGACACAACTTTCAGATCCCTTAAACAAGTAATTAGTAGGAACAAGAAAAAATGCTTATAATTTATATAAGCTATAGTTGGAGTCTATAAGTAGGAATTGCCATTAGATGCTTTGCTCTACAAGTTACTACTCCAAATTGCTCACTCATGTCCAATTCACTAGGCTGCATACCATTTGGAAGTTCCCAATCAAAGCAATGTACCAACTGCGCAACCACAAGGCGAACAATTATGATTCCCAATTGCATACCAGGGCAACTTCTTCTACCAGAACCAAATGGTAAAAGTTGAAAGTCGTGTCCACGAAGATCTACACTGCTCTCAACAAATCTCTCTGGCAAAAACTTGTCTGGTTCAGGCCAAGCATTAGGATCCCTTTGCGCTGCATATACATTGACAACAATCCTCGATCCCTTTTGCACGAAGAAGCCATCAACAACACAGTCTTCTATGGACTCGTGAATTAGTAATGGTGCAGCAGAATGCAGCCTCAGGGCTTCCTTGATCACCATGTCTAAGTAATTCAAATTTTCTAAGTCAGATTCGTCTACCATTCTATCAAGGCCTACAACTTGTTCCAATTCTTTTTGTAGTTTCTTCATGACATGAGGATGCCTAAGTAGCTCAGTGAGTATCCATTCTACTGATGTTGCTGAAGTGTCCATTGAAGCCATAAGCATGTCCTGCAACACAAAAGTGAATTATGAAAACTTAAAAACTATGTCTCAATGCAAAACAAGTTAGGGCTGGTCGTATGAATACTCTGGTTTTATGCTTGCTCTCACTGGTATAATACACCTAGGACGTCCACATAGATCACTACTTGTTCAACTTTATTCAAGTTTAAGTATTTGCCTATACACATCCAAAGTTGGAGGACATAGATGTCACGTTTATATAGTATGCCTATATAAGACTGGTTATATAACAATTACATTTCAATTACAAACAAATCGGACTAGTTATACGAATACTCTAGTTGGGAGAAGTAGGTTGACAACCAGCGTAAAACTAGTCGGTTTATGATGAACCCATTTGTATTTTCAAATGCTAAATCAATTACCAATGTCAATAAAACTACATACCAATAGGACAGCTTTAACATGGCGTCTATCAAACTCGAATCCAGCTTCACCAGATTGCATAATATCCATCATGGTATCAACAAAATCCTTAGTTTCCCTCTGTTCCTTGGACTCCACATGTTCATCAATAATCTTCTCAAGGAACTCATCAAAAACCTTAGAAAGTGTCTTTAGCCTACTAGTAATCCCCTGAAGATCCAAAACACCAAGATAAGGAAAAAAATCACCAAGATTTGGTGTTGCAGCTAAATGTACAACTTCTTGAACTAGAGATTTAAAACCCCTTTTATCCAAATCGTCATCCATAAACTTTTTCCCAAAAACCATTAAACAACTCAAATTCGCATTCAATGACGAAACTTTCGCACTAAGATCAACAGCAACAACATGTTGTTGATCATTATGATCAGCCACATGTTTAATTGATTTAACCATAAGTGAAACTTCTTCCTTTCTTGAAGGCTGATATGAGTTAATCTTTTGACTACTCACAAGGTTCATAGTAGTCAATTTTCTCATGTTCCTCCAATAAGGACCATATTTAGAGAAAATCAAGTTCCTTTGACCATAACAAACATGTTGTGAGGCTTCATGATGAGGCCTACTAGCAAATACATGATCATAAGTTTTGAGAACTTTTTCAATTGTATTAGGGGATGAGACAACAATTGTTGGTACTAATCCAAGTTGTATGTGCATGAAAGGGCCATATCTTTTGGCTAATTTGTAAAAATCTTGGTGGGGATTTTTGCCTATTAAGTGAAGATGTCCTAAAATAGGAAGTCCCCATGGACCTGGTGGAAGTTTTTTGTTGTGGTTGATGTTTAGTAATTTATGGAATATGTACATGGCTATAGCTACTATAAGTGTAGTCCACATGATCAAAGCCATAGTAGAAATATTCAATGTATGTGACTAAAAGTTCAAGATGGAGAATCCTACTTATAAATGAGAAAATGACAAAAATTGTCCCTCTTGTTTGGGTGAAGGTGTAAATTAGTCCCTAAAGTATGTTTTAGGGAAAAAAAAATAGGTCTTCCAAGTTTGTTAAAGGTGAGAACTTCTGGCTAATACGTATGCAGCCTTATTTCTACGTTTGTTTCACAATAAACTAAACACTTAAAATCTTCAAATATTTAATAAACTCTACCATTTAGATTTGATGAAAGCGGTTGATTTTCTTTAATTAAAAAATGTCATCAAATTATAAAAACTATACATCAAAAAATTGCACAAGAGACCTAAAAGGAAATAGACCAAAGATAGTAGAAATTGCACTTAAGTAGAAAAATATCAAAATTCCTCCTTTTCAAAAAGATTAATTTGATTTGATTTGTTTCAAAGTTTTCTTCTTTTTAAAAAGAGTGATTTGATTTGATAAAGTTTTAAAAAATAAAGAAGATTTTAAATTTTGTGATTTTAAATTAAAGTTATATTAAATTGATTTTTAATTTTGTGATTTTAAATATACCACGTGACAAGCTAAAAATAAAATGTTATTAAAAAAAAAATTCTTTCTTAAATAGACTAAAACAAGAAATTATTTTTTTTAAACGGCAAAAATATATAACCGCAAAAATTGTACTTCCATTATGATTTCCCGATATTTTTTTTACATAGCTCCTCCCCCAACCAAACCCCATTTAATTAATCCTCTAGTACAGAGTAAATATGAAACAGAAAGGAATTTAAAATATCTTTAAATATTGTAAAATTAAATAAAAATACCTTCAGTTAATCATTTAATCTGAAAATATTTTTATCGTTCATAATTTAAGTTAAATTGGTGATGATAAAACTATTTTTTTATTAAATTATTAATAAATAACATTTTTATTTGATTTCACACCATTTAAAACCATTTGTTTAACTATTTTCCAAATACGAAGAGGAGTGAGTGTGTGGTCTCTTAATTTTCTTAAATGTCAATTATTTTCAAATAAATTATATATATATTGAAACAATTAATATTATTAATCGGATAACGATAAATATATTAAACTTATCCTAAATCATTTTTGTCATTGTCTTCCTCAACTTGGATCATTAATTGAATTCCTTGTATGTTCCATGCATCTCAACCAAAAAGCAAAAAAGTATCCAATTTCTACTTTCACAAAGCAACTTTAATTAGGTGGCTCTCGATCTGTCCACTTAGCTTTGATGATGAATTAAAAAGGATAAAAAGATGGATCTTTCTTCTGTCAACCCATTTTGCACGTGGATCGTCTAAGTAATTTTTAATGGCAATAAATTATAGATTAATTTAGAAAAGAATTTAATCGTATTTAAATTTATATCAAGTCAATATAATGAAGTAAAAAATATGTTGACTAATAATATTTAAGTAAAATAAGCTATAAATTAAAATGCATTGCATATATATATTGATTTAATATAAATATTTCATGTCGATAAGTTTTATTCATTTATTTATAATGTTTAATTCTTTATCGATATTCCCTCTATTCCATATTAATTCACCACTTTTTTTTTACATAGAAGATAGTTTTATTTATTCATTTCTTCAAATAATTCCTTTAAAATTTTACAAAATATGAGTTGACAGAAGAAAGATCCATCTTTTTCTCCTTTTTAATTCATCATCAACTATCAAAGCTAAGTGGACAAACCGAGAGCCACCTAATTAAAGTTGCTCTGTGAAAGTAGAAATTGGATCCTTTTTTGTTTTTTGGAATTCAATTAATGATCCAAGTTGAGGAAGAAAATGACAAAAATGATTTAGGATAAGTTTAAAATATTTATTGTATCCGATTAAAAAGATTAATTGTTTCAATATATTGAAAAAAAAAGTGGAAAACAAAATTATACCTTACTTTAATTTACTTAGATTTATTGAATTCATAATGGATTCAATCAAGTTAATTGAGATAGGCAAACTTCATTTTTTTGAAATGTTCAAATTAAATATTTTGAAAATCAATAAAATAAGAGATTTTTTCATTATAGAACACGAAATTTACTAGAAGCAATGATAAATAAATACAAATGAAAAGGATATATATATATATATATATATATATATATATATATATATATATATATATATATATATATATATATATAGTATA